CTGTGCGGCCGGCGCGGCGACCCCGGCTGCGGCCCCGGCCCGGGCTGCGAGCTGCGCTGCCGTCCCAGCGCCGCTTCAGCAGGGGAGCTGCACCGCCGCTGCCATGTTGCTACAAACTGCATCCTGGGAGGCATGTCCCTCTCAGGCCGTTTAAAGAGAAACCCTCCGAGGCTCGTCGGAGCTGCCGGAACCCAGACAGCTCCATCTACAGCCGGTAGGAGCGAACAGTGTGGAGCGAGCCGCCCGGCGGCGGCGGCGGACACGCCCTGAACCCGGGCCGGCCCGTCGTGCAGCCAGGGCCGAGCCGCCCGCCTCCCCCGGGCCTCGGGGCCGCTCACCTGGGGTCCTCGCCGCCCGGGTGCCCTCGGGCCAGGCCGGAGGCGGTGGCGCGGATTCGGGAGCGCGCAGCCCCGGCGACGTGCTGGGTCTGGAGGCGGGTCGCGCGGCTCCGACAGCCTTCCTCCCGCGGCTCCCTGCGCGGCTCAAACCCAGAACCCGGGGTCGTTGGCTTTCAAAACCTGCGCTCACAAAGGGATCTCAGAAAGCCGTCACACCAGAGCAAGCCCGGAGTGCATGTGACCGGCGCGGTGCAGCCCGGGTTCCAGGGACGCGGACTGCGCGTCCAAGGGTAGCAGGGTGGGGGGGGGGAGCTTTGTGCAGCGCCTCGGTGTTGTTTTCCACCAGAAAGGACGGAGTTCCCAGGATCTTTGAGGGCTAGGGGCTGGAGGAGGCTAGACGGGTCGTGCAGGAGGTAACTGAGGCTGGCGGGGGGGGCTTGTTTATGCCGAGTTGCAGTCTCGCCCCCGGGTAGTAAGTATTGCTCTCTCCAACCGGGAGGGAGTCCCAACAGGAAGGGTAAAGCTTCCAATTGGCGACCCTCCTTCCCGGACAGGTTCATTTAAACACATTTATTGAATGCCCGAGAGGTGGCAAGATCTGGGGATGAAATAAGAGAGGAAAAAGTAGAATCAGGTGTCATGGTCAGTAGGGATGAACCCCAACTGGAGCTAAGAGAAAAAAGCAGAAATTTTCGTTCACCTCGTGGAACCTTGGAATGACTGGTTGGAGCTGGTCTTGGAGGCAACCCCAGCAGGAGGCAAATGCAGCAGCTCAGCTCTCTTTAAAATGGAAAGTTATGAACAGGGACTAGGTCAGGGCCCCTGCATCTTGTCCCTCCTGCCCCCAGCATGTCTATGAATTTCCCATCATGTGTGCGTCCACAAACAATGCATAGGACTGGTTTGGGTTTTCTTGACATTTTAGGTGGCATTATTCAGTCCACATTCTGTTGCAACTTGCTTTTTTTTTTTTTTTTTTCCCCCATGGATCATTTTTTGAGGTATAGCATGAGTAAACAAGTCTATCTGGTTCATTCAGTTTAACCACTATATAGTATTTCATTGAATACTTAACTCCAACTTACCCCTGAGGGGATGGAAAACAAACCTGCCTTCAGGACGTCTCAGACAACTCACAGGCATAAGAGGTTCACTGCTCCGTTGCTAGACTCCACCCAGAAGAGACACCAAACTTGGAATAGTGGGTGACAGGAGCACCTTCACCTCTCCGAGGCTTCCAGCTGCTCACTAAGAGGAGGCGTCCACTTAACCGCCCCCAACTAAGCATGACTTCCTGTTTTCAAGTCCTAGCCAACACTCACTGATAAGTGACTTGGGAGGTTTGTTAAGATGAATGGGAAATGGCAACTCGTTATTTTCATTTACATTGATACTTGTGTTGCCCTTAAGCTGCATATTTACAATACTAACAGGTTTCTTCCCTGCAGATTTTCTCTTCATACCCTTACATCTTTTTCTTGTTGATTTATAAGTGTTTTATAAGAATAACATTCTGGTTATTAATCCTATCACCAAACATTTCTTGTAACTACTGATATGATTGCAATTTTGCATTTATTTATTTGTCTCAGTACTTGGAATCGAACCCAGGGCTTTGTGCATGCTAGGCTCTACCTTTGAGCTACAATCACCAGCTCTTTTTTTTTTTTTAAGGTAGGGTCTCCCTGTTGCCCTAGCTGTCCTGGAACTCATTATGTTGGCTAGGCTGGCCTCCATCTCACAGAAATCCCCCTACCTCTGCTTCCCAAGTGCTGGGATATATTTATATTTTTAATATTTGTCTTTTTGTGTGTGTGTGTGTGTGTGTGTGTGTGTGTGTATGTTTATGGGTACATGTATGCCATGATGTGCCTGTTGAGATCAGAGGACAACTTATGGGAGTCATTTTTCTCCTTTGATCATGTGGGTTCCTGGGATTGAACTCTGGTGGTCAGGCTTAATGACAAGTGCCCTTAACCTGCTAAGCCGTCTCACCAGTTCTAAATATATTTAATTCTAATATATATACTGGTTCTAATATATTTAATAAATATATTAAATATATTTAATATAATCTGCATATTTGTGGAGTACAGTATGACTTTTTAAAATATTTTATTTATTATTTTATGTGTATGAGTGTATTGCCTGCATGTAGGTAAGCGCACTGTGTCGTGCAATGCCCACGGAGGACAGAAAAGGCTGTTGGATCCCTTGGAACTGGAGTTATGGACAGTTGTTAGCTGCCACGTGGGTGCTGGGATTTGAACCCCAGTCTTCAACCGGTGCTCTTAACTGCTGAGCCATCTCCCCAGCCCATACAATATGACATTTTTTTACATGGGGTCTTTTTTTTTTTGGTCTTTTTGAGGTAGGGTCTCCCTGTAGCCCCAGCTGTCCTGGAAGTCACTATGTAGACCAGGCTGGCCTTGAACTCATAGATCCACCTGCCTCTGCCTCCTGAGTGCTGGGATTAAAGGCGTGTGCCAGCACGCCCAGTTTAGGGGTCTTTTTTTAAAAACATTATTTTTATGTGTATGAGTGTTATGCCTGCATGTAGGTAAGTGCACCTGTGTCCTGTAATGCCCACAGAGGACAGAAGAGGCCCTCGGATCCCCTGGAACTGGAGTTATGGGTAGTTGTTAGTTGCCGTATGTGTGCTGGGATTCAAACCCAGGTCTTCTGCAAGAACAGTGTTCTTAACTGCTGAGTCATCTCTCCAGTCCTTAGGCAGGTTCTTTTTTTAAAGACAGGGCACCCTGTAGCTCCAGCAGGCCTGGAACTTACCATGTAGACCAGGCTGGCCTAGATCTCACAGAAATCTGCCTACCTTTGTCTCCTGTGTGCTGGGATTAAAGGCCAGAATGACATTTTAGCATTTCAGTATTTGTATACAATATATAATAACCAGGCTAGGGCAAGTGGCATATATTCATTAGTTAGAACTTCTGTCATTTATTTGTCCTGGGACTATTCAAAGTCATCTCTACTTGGGCCTCAGGCAGGCTAGGCAAGCACTCCATCGCCCATCTACCCCCAGCCCTCTGCTGGTGATTTTGAAATACTCAATTGTTAACAGTAGTTATCCTACTGTGCTATAGACTGGAACCCTAAAATGATTGCACTTAGATCTGCTATCTTACCAGTTTTCTACATGTTTCATGTGTTCAAAGATATGTTGCTCCCATTTGCCAGTTTACAGGCTGAGTACATTTTAAAAGTAATTCTACTTATATTAGTGTTTTACTTATTTTCGTTTTTGTTTGGAGACAAGCTCTCGCTCTGTAGCCAAAACTGGCGTAGAACTCACAGTGTAACCCAGGCAGGATTCACAGCAGCTCTCCTACCTCAGAAGTGCTGGGAATTTTTTTTTTTAAATTTTTTGTTGTTTGTTTTTTTTGTGTGTGTAACATAATCTCACAATGTAGTCCTGGCTGGTCTGGATTTCATTATGGCCTTTAACTCACAGAGGTCAGCCTGCCTCTGCTTCTCCAGTGCTGGGATTAAGGGAGTGTACCATTGCACCCAGCTGCAGCATTCTAATTTTAAAGTAATTTTTTTCTGTTTATCATTTTCTTATTACAGTTAACTAAAAAAAATTTTTTATTTCTGTGTGTATTGTCTGCATGTATGTAAAGGCACCCAAGTCCTGCAGTGCCCGAGGAGGTCAGAAGAGAGTGTTGGGTTTCCCTGGAACTGAAGTTATGGATAGTTAGTTACCATGTGGGTGCTGGGAATTGAACCCTGATCCTCTGCAAGAGCAGTCAGTGCTCTTAACCGCTGAGCCATCTCTCCAGCCGCATTTTTACACTTAATTTTAAGTTATAGAATATCTATCAATCTATCATCTGTCTATCTGCATAAGGTCTGGCCTTGAACTCAACATCTTTGCCTCTGCCTCCTGAGTGCTGAGATTACAGGTGTACCCCTGTTACAGCTACCACCCAACTGTATCTTTAATTTTTAAGAGCCTGCTCTGTATAAATTCTACTACTTCATGGGGGCTGGGGAGATGGCTCAGTGGTTAAGACCACTTGCTGTTCTTCCAGAGGACCTAAGTTAGGTTCCCAGTAACTACGTTAAGTGACTCACAACCACCTGTAACTAGTTCCCTGACACCCTCTTCTGGCCTCTGTGGACACCTACACACATGGCATACACTCACACAGACACACACACACACACACACACACACACACACATATATATATGTAAATGAAAATTAAAACAGTAAATCAACACTACAAGTTTGGTGCAATAATCTTTTTTAAAAAATATTTTATTGCTGGGTGTGGTGTCGCATGCCTTTAATCCCAGCACTCGGGAGGCAGAGGCAGGCAGATCTCTGTGAGTTCAAGGGCAGCCTGGTCTACATAGTGAGTTCCAGGACAGCTCAAAAAGACCAAAAGAAAAAATTTTTTTTAAAATTTAAGCCAGGCGTGGTGGCACTTGGGAGGCAGAGGTAGGTGGATCTCTGTGAGTTCGAGACCAGCCTGGTCTACATAGTTCCAGGACAGCTGGGGCTACAGGGAGACCCTGCTTCAAAAAGACAAAAAATATTTTTATTTTATGTGTATGAGTGTATTGCCTGCATGTAAGTAAGTGCACATGTGTCGTGCAGTGCCCGGGAGGACAGAAGGGGCCGTCAGATCCCCTGGAACTGGAGTTACGGACAATTGTTAGCTCCCATGTGGGTGCCAGGATTTGAACCCGGATCTTCTGCAGAACAACCAATGTTCTTAACCACTGAGCCATCTCTCCAGCCCCCATTGGTGCAGTAATCTTTTTTAAAAATTTTTTATTTATTGTTTTTATTTTATGTGTATACATGTATTGCCTGCATGTAGGTAAGTGCACCTGTCGTGTCGTGCAGTGCCTGCAGAGGTCGGAAGAGGCTGTTGGGTCCCCTGGGACTGGAATTACGGACAGTTGTTAGCTGCCATGTGTGTGCTGGGATTCGAACCTGGGTCTTCTGCAAGAACAACCAGTGTTCTTAACCGCTGAGCCATCTCTCCAGCCCCTGGTGCAATAATCTTAAAAGAGGTTGTCCTTACCATCTTAATTAGCATGTATTTTATGTTTATACAGTTGTCCTTGGAATCCATAGGGATTGGCTTCAGAACCCCTAGAGGATTCTCAAGTCCCTTATTAAAACAGTACTGCATTTGAATGTAGCCCATGCATCGCTCCCATGCTCTTTAAAGTCATTGCTAGATTACTTATAGTCTCTAAAACAATG